CTCTAACTGACGACTGCAAAATAAGTATCTCCAGAGAGGAATAAATGCTATGAGTTCAGAGGAAGAATATTAGTTTAAACTGGAGTCAGTTCAGGGTTTCATGGATCATATGGTGATTGAGGTAGCACTGAGGATGAGCAGAAAAAAGGTAGAAATAAGGGTGAGTTTACTCTATTAGGAGGAAATGGCAAGAACAGAGGAGTGGAGGTGAGAAAGGCATGTTTGGGAATAGCAGGTAATCATTTGGCTGAGGGGTTCAGGATGTGTTGCTGTTCATCCTTCATTGTGGAAGAGGACCAATGGCATCACAGGGCGATGCCTTGACTTGAGAGTGAACTAGTGAGTTGTACATAGTCATCATCTTCATTCTCTCTTCCAGAGTCATCAAAGTCCAGTGGCAAAAACAAAAGTCAAGATGACTGATGATGGCTCAGGGTGCAGTGGATGGCCTTAGAGTCTTCAACACTTAACCAGGCTCTAAGCACTCCACAGCACCTGCTTCACTCACCTTAATGGCCACTAAAACAAACTGTTCTCATCTGCCCATCCTGAGGGGGACGCCTTCACATGTTTGAGGCAGACATTTCCCTAACTCACCTACAGATTTGAGGCCCTTCAGTTACCCTCAATCTGGTTTAGCCCATCTGCTGTGATGGTTTACTAGGGTGTGGCCACTGTACATGCTACAGTTTCTTGGAGTCACAGGTAAGAGTTGAGTGCCAGGTAGACCCCAAAGGTGGATGAGCAGCCCTGAAAAGGGCTCAGCAGCCCTCACGCCAGAGGTGCTAGTCCTTCCTGAACACCCCATACACCCCTCAGTATGTGTATGGTACCGGGGGCCAATGTAGGCTTGGGCCAGATTGTCAAGGGCCTTGAACTAGGACTTTTGGACTTAACTCAGCACACAAGAAACCCTTGAATATTTTCAAACAAAGCATGGACATATTTAAAGCTTTTAAAGAATATTAATGTTATCAGTAGTGCACAGGATAGTTTGGGGTGGGAGAGATTAGAGACAGAGAGACTAGCTAGGTTCTTGTAATAGTCCAGGCCAGAAAAATGAGGACCTAGACTAGGGTGCTAAAAGCATGGGAATGAAAAGGGACAAGTGTAAGATGCATCATGGTGAACAAATGGGTAGCTCTTGCCATGCATTGGGCATAGAGTTGAAAAAGAGGGAGGAGTCCGAAAGGGCTTAAAGATTCTGAGCCTGGATGATTGGTAGAGTCATTAATAGCAAATAGTAAATAGTCACCAGGAGAAGCTCATTTGCTAAGAAAGGAAGAAGAGTTCAGTTTGGGAGATGTGGAGCTGCTGGCATGTTGATGCTTCCAAGTGGAAGCATCCAGCATCACAAATGCAATGTACGATATATAGTTTGTAAAATATTTTTATTGTCATAACTTCATGTAACCTGTATCCAGAAATAAAATGGTCACACTTCACTAATATCACAAAATAGTTTGAATAAAAATATATCATTCTAAATTACCACAATATTCTTAGTAGGTTGCTTTCAGAGAATTGACCAACATGTATGGTTTTTATCAGAACTATCGAAAACAACGATGATGCAATTTTTACTAGCTTATTTTTTTAACCAATATGCAGACTTCTTAGTTTTATGTTTGAAATGGGATAGTTGATCAGACACATCATAAAATTCTGAATAGAAAGAAAAACTTCTGATGTTGCTATTTATTCACTCTGGGCATTGTATATAGGTGCATTTCACAACAAAATGCTCCATCACCAATACCTATGACGACAACAACAATAACAAACCAGAGAAAGAAGCCCACAGTAGAGATTGAATTAGCAATATATTCCATGGTCACACGAACACGAAGGAAATATTCCACAAATTCCTTTCATGGTCTGTGTGAATACTCAATTGGGGGTTGAGCATCATGGGGTAACCAGGTAGCAAACAGAAGAGCTAAGCTTTCTAGCACTAGGGAAGATGACTAAGGTTTCATAGAATATCTTAAGTTTGAAAGGACTTGGGAACAATAGTGTTTTTGTTTTTCTTAGAGGATTGAATTTGTGTCAGTGGAGGCCCCAAACATAACAGGAAGAGACCAGGAAGAAATATGAAACAAAATATAATTCAATTTCCTCACATTGTCTTGAACTCCTTATTCTGCTCCCTTGCTCTCTCCTTGGCTTGTTAATTCTATATTGGTGCCCTGCTTTGCTTTAATCACTGTTGTCAGCTTTCAAATGAGTGTGACACTTGAGGTCTATGGGCCACTTAATATGAAGTCAATAATTCCACCCAATTTAAATTTTTAAAAGCTGACTATGCATCTTTTGTGTCGTAGGCATGATAATGTGGCCTTCAGATGCTTCAGGCTCAGCATCTAATAACCATCTTGGATGTAAATCAAAGCTTTGATTTACATGTAGATGGTACCCAAGTACATCTAAAAATACTTTGGGTGCATTTGTGCCCTGGGCTACACCATTACCTCATAGAAACAAATGAAACTGTTTGATTAAATATTCCTCTGGGGTGAAAACCACTTCCAAAGATATTCTTATATAAACATGAAAAATTGATATTTGCCAAAATTACACTTTATGTACAAAGTGCAGTATTGAAAGACATATTAAAGACTCTCTCCACAAACGCTACTCATGATTTTATTTAATGCAATATTGGGTCAGTTTTATGAATTTTCAGTTTTTACCTCCTAAGTAATGAGTATACGAATTTCAAAATAATACTTTTGATGTTGATTCTTTCAAAAGAACAGAGTTGCACAGGAGATAGAACAATGGTCCTGGAGCCAGGAAGACCTGAGTTCAAATCCAATCTCAGAACAGACACTTGACACTTACTGGCTGTGTGACTTAACCCCAATTGCCTCTCTAAAAAAAAAAAAAAAAGAAAGAAAAGAAAAAAAAGAAACAAACAAAAAACCACACCAAAAGAACAGAGTTGGAAATCTCTCCTACCAGACTTTCCTAGAGAGTCCTTCAATCCAATGTTTGCAGAAAATCTAGTCTACAAATTCTATTATTAGTGAAGCAAATCTAAAGATTCCTTTTTACTAGTTTTAGCTGACTTATAGGATCCTACTAAATTTCAGAATTACTACAATCATTGAGAGAGAGGGAGAAACAGACAGAGAGACAGACAGACAGACGGACAGAGATAGAGAGAAAAACAGAGAAAGACAGAGACAGAGAGAGATAACAACAACAACAACACCCATGGACTTCAGGATTGATCACATTTTCCCTACCATTCTAAGAATCCCTCAGCAGTAAAATAATGTACATTTTCTTAATTACTAATGAATGAAATGAGCTGAGAAAGTGATTATTGTAACAGAATTAGAGTGAGATAATGCATAGACTCAATATGCAAGTGGTTGTCTATCCACACTTTTCCAATGTCACAGTTCAGATTTTAAAAAATGAGCTGCTTGTTCTCCATTAGTGAAGAACCCTCCTGCTTTGACTAAAGGAGAAGCTGGATGTGCCTTGGCTCTCATGGCAGGTGCATTCGTCCTTTCTTTGTCATAGGTACCTCTTTATTTTCTCTTTCTCAATATCACTCTCAAAGTATGGAGAGACTTAGAAAGTATTTTGAGTGCATGTTTCACGAAACATAACGACAAATGGAAAACTTGTAAATTGTACAAACATTTTAGAAATTTAAATAAAGGGATACTCTGTAGAGGGGTTACTTTCCATCCAGAAGACCTTGAAATCTAGTCAAGGATTTCAATTGAATACATGTAAGTGTCTACACTGTGCTAAACATCTAAGGATACAAAGATTGTATCTCATATGTAAGACACAAACCCTTCCCTCAAGGAACTCGCTATCCAATAGATAAAATGTTGACAAATGGTATTAGAATATTATCCTTGCAGAGGAGGGGCCCAAGCAGAGACCTTTAAGACATCTGAGGGAGATGATTTCTGGATGTGTGACTAGGGGGGAGGGGAGGACTGAGGGGAGAAAGAGCCAGGGAACACACCCTGAAAGTGGTAGCTGAACTGGGTCTTGGAGGACAGAATTTCAACAGGCAGAATTCAGTCAATCAGTTCCTTAATAAACTGTGCTTGAGGCACTGTGCTAGATGCTGAGATACAAAGAAAAAGCAAAAACAGTCTCTGATCTCAAAGAGATGACATTCAAAGGTGGCAGAATGGGGGAAGTCCACAGGAGGCATATGAGATTAATATGAGCAAAGGGGAAAAGGGCAGGGAAGGGGAAATAATACATATACATTCATGATAAAGACTTAAGAAGAGGCATGCAGCCAGTTTAGTAGCAGTTGGGGAAAAAGATGTAAGAAAGAAGGGAAAGAGAAACCTCACAAAAGTAAAGTAAGTTAGGGGCAGAAGTGAATTTTCTGCCTGTATGTTTAAACACGCATAAATGACAGATGGACAATTTGTGGGCTCCATTGATATCCTCAAGATTTTGAGAGAAAGCCAGGAAGGCCCCTAGTATGTTGAGTGGACCCCCTGGAGTAAACTTATGAGAGGACAGCAAGAGTTGATGAGGAGCCACGAATAGGTTTCAATTGTCAAGGCTGGAGGGAATATCCAAATTGATGAGATCATGGATTCACTTGCATATTAGAAAATGTAGTGAAAACTCAGGTTTGAGCAGAGAGAAACTCATTTAATAACCACTAACTTGCTAAAACCAGGAAATGGAGACAGGACATTCAATTTAACAAACATGCACTAAGTGCCTATATACAAAACATAACACTAGCTGCTAGGGATAAAATGAAAGCAAAACAGCTTCTGTCCTGGAGGAGCTTACATCCTATTGAGGGTAAGAATGATACAAGATATATTATCATATGTATGACTTTTTCTAGGGATAGAACTCAAAATACAAACTGAAAGAGAAATGTGGGTTAATATATATACATACATATATGTGTGTGTGTGTGTGTGTGTGTGTGTGTGTGTGTGTATATATATATTCTGTCTCTATATGTGTATATAAACACTTTTTTTCAGAACTTTGACTTTTTCTCCATTTTTATTTCTCGGTGTCTAAATGCAAGATGAGACATATTACCAGAGAAAGGTTTCCTGAATCCCTTCCATATAAACAAAACTATTCTTTATTTCATTGTTTTTCTTTCTTGTAACTGAGTTCTGTGAAGAGGAAGAAATTACAAGTATATGAAATCTATAACGTCCTCACTTATTGAATCTAGCTGGTCAATGTTACCAATAAATTAGTCACTCCAACTTTAGATAGATGTTAATATTTTCCCATCAGACATGGTCAGTGATGTCTATCATCCTCTTTCCTTTCAAGTCAGTTGCTGTCTCAAACTTCATTTACTTACAAAAGTTTGAAATATATTTTATTTTTAAAGAAAAACAGTTTAATTACTTTTGAATAAAATATTAACTATATTATTATCCAGCAAAAACTCCTAGAACATTTGATTTGACGAATAGACATGAATAGATTTGCCTAGGAGTAGAGAACCAAGGACTGCACTTGGGGACCTAGAGGGCCACATGTGCCTCCAGGCTGCAGGTTCCCCACCCCTGGTCTAGTCCCAGTCACCAAGTTAATCCCAGTAATCAACAGTCAGAAGTGGAGAATTACTTTGGTCCCTGGTGTGAACTACTATGAATTCATACTCTCCTTTCCCTTGAACTGCCTTCATAAGGACAGCAGACCCCTTAGCTCTTGGAGGCAAGAAATGATCTTGGAATTTTTTTTCCCACAGAACCACAGAATTCACATGATGTTTTAGTTATGACTGAGATTTCAATAATTTAATAGATCTCTTCTTTCATCAATTGTGGTAGGTCCTCAAGCAATGAAGTCAGCATCTTATCCAGGCCCAGTCAGCCAATATGTTTGAATTGCTTTTGTTTTTCAGCACTTTGACCTTTCTCTTTGACTTTGGAAATTAATGTCTTTCTTTCCCTGAAGTTATGACCTCCCAACCACAGCTTAGCTTAGATTTCATGCTCCTCCTCTCCTCTGCTCAATAATGTTCTTCTTATTCCACATGGCTAAACTTATTGGTAAGAAATTTGGTCACTAAGCAGAATTTTTCAAGCATTGGTAGTCGTAAAGTAAGAAGAAAGAAGTTGGTAGCTTATTACAATACTTTTGCCAAGGCTCAACATTACTTCCCTGAATATTCAAGGTGAATCTTCGTTAATGGGTCCGGCTAAAACATATAGTATCATAGGAAGAAAGGAGCAATAACTTAACACAATAACTTTTATAACAAAATGAAGTCAATGCTAATCTGTTCTAAACATAATTTGGTTTTTCATTATCAATGTATACTGTATTTTATTTGCAAAAAAGGGAGCTAACATAATTCTGAAACTGATAGGCTAATAGATGAGTCAGTATGATAATACTTTTGGTTTTTTTCCCTTAAAGACAATATATTCATATTTCCATATTTATCTGAATATTCATTGCCTATATATAAATACCATTTCTAATCTCATTTCAATATTAAGCATCTACTATGTACCAAAAACTGTGTTGTTACTACGAAGATACAAAGGTTTGATAAGAAAGTCCCTACTCATGTGGAATTTTCAGTCTAATAGGAGAATATGACACAGCCACAAATAAAAACTATAATACGTAAGTGTATAGAAGTGGTTCAAAGTGCTGTGAGTAGTCTGAAGGTAGAAACAGCATTACTGTCAGGTGAAGGTTTGGAAAGGAAAGCTTCAGGAAGGAGGTAGCCTCTGAGCTATGCTTTAAAAGAAGGGTGGTACTTTAACAAGTAAGAGAAGAAGGCATTCTTGGCATAGGAACATGTGAGAAAAGACATGGAAGCAAAAAGATAGGGAACACGTATGAAGAATAGTGAATATCCCACTTTGCCTGAAGCACAGGGACATGGGCATGATGGGCTGGGGAAAGAGACAAAAGGAGCTTTCTAGATGTAGGAGAACCAGGAAAAGGCAATGTCTTAGAGCCGTTGTATTTTGCGATTCTGGATATTAAATGATTCTCTTATTAAAGATGAGATAGTGTGTAGAAAGAGTAGTAATTAACAATGCCAAAAGCTGCACAAAGATCAAAGAGTAGAAAACCTGAGAAAACACCATTGGATTTGATGAAAAATAGTCAATGGTGACCTTTGAGAGAACAGTTTCAGTAGATGGTAGGATCAGAAGCCATTGCAGCAGATTGAGGAGAGAGTGGATGGTAAGAAAGTTGAAGGATCAGAAAAACTTTCAAGAACTTTGAAGAAGGAAAGGAAAAGAAAAAGAAGAACCGGTAGCTAGATGAAGAAGAAAGAATGAAGAATAAAGATTAGGATAAGCTGAACATGTTTGTAGGCAACTGGAGAGAAGCCACCCAATATAGAAAGAATGAAGATATATGAATCAAGAGAATGGTTCACTCAAGCTTAAAGCATTTGGATAAAACCTGTAAAGTAGAAGGAAGATTTCTTCCTCTGAGACAAGAGAAAAGGAGGAGAGAATGGGTGGTGATGCTGAATAGTTTGGGAAGCTGAGTTGAAAAGCTAAAAGTGTTCAAGCAGGATGGCTTCAAGCTTTTCAGAAAAGTGGATGGTCAACATTGTAAATGGGGGAGGGTGTAGGAGTACAGTTGGGTGCTTGAGAAAGTAAAAATTTTTATCAGTTATCATAGGAAATAAAAGAAGGAAAATCTAAGTGTAGAATAGACATTGCCAAGCAGTGGTAAGGGCCCAGTTTAGGTAATACAACAAATTTATAGTGTGTGAAATAAGCATAATTCTATTTTCACCAGCATAAGCAAAGAAAACAGTTAATGGGGGTTACCTAAAATTGAGAACTAGTAGGCTGGTATTAGTGGAAGGTCAGAGAGGGGATAGTTAGCAAATCAATAAAGTGACAGATCATGAGGCTATGGCTATGGTGGTAAAAGAAACCTTCATGAGAGAGATGCAGTGGGAGAATTGGGAGGAATTAAGAGGCCAGAGATCATGATGAGGAGGTACTATAGTAATCATATTTTATGACCGTCACTGTGGAGTCAGCCTTTTGAAATCCCATGCATTCTTTAGTCAGAATGATTTTCTGTATTGAATGGAAATGAAAGGATAAAAGTTATAGGAGGGCAGGGGTGAACCTGTGATCTTACTTGTGCACACCCTTAATAATAATGCAATTCAAGTAAAATGTATCTTCTGTGCTTTCTATTTGTGATTTATGAAGAAACAATGAGTGAAAGAACAATTTTACTTTTTAGGGGAGTAAAAGGAAAAAATAATAATGAACTGAAAGTTTAATTCTTTCTTTGATTCTGACTAATCCTTTTAAAAGCTAGTACATAAATTTTTATCCTTGTGTTTGCCAATCTACACAGAACAGATTTCAAGGACCTTTAAGAGGGCTTTTAAGGATTCTTAAATTTCTAGGTCTCCTAAGGCTTAAGCCTAAGGAAAACATTTTAAAATGTTACCATTTGCTTTTCAGTATAAAAAACCAACTTCTATAATGGCTTCTTCTCAGTTTCCTCTTCTTCTCCCTAACATCTTAGGGTGGGTGTTTTTCAAGGTTCCTTCCTTTTTCCCTCTACATTTCTAATCTTAGTGTTTCATTCACTTCAATGACTTTAACTAGGCTCTCTCTGCAGATAATTCTCAAATCTGTATATCCCAAGGGGCAGTGTGTCTAATAGGCAGAGCTGTCCTGGAAGCAGGAAGAACTAGGTTCAAGTCCTGTTTCTGATGCACACAAGTCCTTTTATGTAACCCTGAGCACTCCTCAATGCTCTGGGCAACAATCTAATGCTCTCAGTTGCCCATCTGCATTGAAGGAGAGAGCTGATATATACAACCATCCCCATACCAATGAAATCCAAATTCCATCCCTATCTGTATCTCTATTAGGGAAACAGCTTCCATGGAATAGTACATGATGCCAGATTTTATAATACAGCAGAATTCTGTATAACAGCTAATTATTACATAGATTCAGTTATACTGAAAGTCAAATAATGTTCCTAAAAATTTGCTTAATAGAATACAAACATGACATAACTCAGGTGACCTATATACAAGGTCAGACATTGTCCAACACAATTAAAATAAGATATTCCATTGTATTCCTGTGAAATAGTAACAAAATTAAAATGTCCTACTTAAGAGATAATAAAGGATGGAGAAGAGTCCAAATTCATCTCTAGGATTCGCTGAAAATTTTCATTGTCAGGAACCAACAAATAATTAAAGATTAGTTCCATATGATTAGCAGCAAAAACATAATATATAACATATATCGTATAGTATATCTTTTATATATATATATATATATACATACATAGATATCTATATATATTTATAGCTGTCTATATCTCCCAACACCTTTGTGTTCAGTTTTCCAGTGTCTTAATATCAGGCCTATTTAGTTATGTGCTGCTTAAATATTTACACCAAATATCCAAATTATGGTGCCTGCATAAAACTGATTCTGAGTTGCTCTTTGAAACTTGGAATAATCTTCACATTCTTCCTCCTTGCAAGCAAGCAAGCCCACATTTCAAGGCCTGCATATATGATGTAAATATGAGAAATTTATAATAAATCATCTGCTGCGAACCTCAGACCTAAAACTAATGATTGATAGATACACTTTTTCTCCCCATTCTCTTTTCCCAGGCTGTGACACATTTACACTTCATACACTATGTTTCATGTGCCTTCCCTATTAAAAGCAGGCTAAGACTTGACTCTCTTCAATAAAACAAATATCAGCTTTGTAACTGTCAGTAGTACTTCAGAATACACTGCATGTTTTTCAGATTTTTAGGCACTTTTATTTCCCCAATGTTCTATATTTTCCTATCAATTTTTTCCATGGAAAGCTTTCAGATCAGCCAAGAGGTCTATGCCATGATATATTGTGGTGCTGAGCCAGGGTCAAGCCATTTGGTGCCAGTCTCTTCATCAGAATGCTTCTGATTTTTCTTCAGTAGGAATAGTCCCATTCAGGAATAGGGATGATAGATACAATGTTTCTAATGAAAAGCTACCATTCTATTGCTGAGAGCACATTGTATTTATGTTTTCCCCTAATTTATGCATTTAAAAAATATTATACTGATTTTAGTAGATTCAATTGTCTCTATTTTTTATTTACATTTCAGATTTTATCCAAAGGAAAAAAGGTTGTCCAATTACTGAATTTCAATAGGGATATTCAAATTTGAAAATTTGAAAACAATCTGTTAAAAAAATTTTGTTACACAGCAGAAAAAAGATGTTTTACTGTAGAAGTCATGTGTGAAATCTACAGTTTCACAATATTTGGGCATGCAAATGGCCCCAAACATAACAGCAAATACTGTGCATAATTTCTTTGGAACTACCAAAAGGATGACTGGAAAAAGAAAAGTCCAGAACTCTTTCTACTTCCTTTAACTTCTCCTAGAGTAGTAAAAAATTAAGGAAATAGTGGCAACAAATGCAAAAAATAGAAAAGCTATAAATGCTAATAAAGACTTTCGAGTTTGAAAAAAATTACATTCAGGGCATAGGATGAATTCTTCTGGACAAAATCTCCTCGGAGTTTCAGGTCCAGGAAAACCATTGTTGTCAATAATCTTCCTGTAATGATTCATTGAAGGTTTTGGCTCAAACTGATTTGCAGCATAACGGTAGAGGCCAAATTTTGGAGCAGTTCGGTCATTAAATGAATAAACAAAGTATCCGTAAAGTCTGAGACCATCCAATGCATGAGCTGAAAAATAAAAGAGACAGGATAAAAGGAAAAGGACAATGATTATTAAAGTTATGTGACAGACAACAGCTATTTAAAGGAAATACATCTAGCATAGCCTTGGAAGCTGAGAAATAGCCAATTTTTTTTTAATAAAACCTAAGATGAAATTAGAAAAAAATGATTTACATATGAAAAAGACAGAGTTCTTTAAATCTCTTGGCCAGCTCTATAGTATCAAAAAGTGCTATCATATGCTAGTCAAATCATACATACATGGAGTAATGAATTTAGTGAGAACTCATTTTCCACTAATCTAATTAGCTCAATATGATGTCAATGTTGAGCCTCCTGAGGTCAGGGACTACGACAATGGGTACTGGAGTCAGAAGACTTGAAATCAAAGAGCATCTCTGCTACTTACAGATGAAGAAATTGAAGCCTTGAAAGGTTAAGCAGTAAGTGTCCACCACGGGATCTCTAAAATTCCTTTCCAACACACAAATTCTTTCTTTTCCCTCAACACTGAGGATATTATAACTAAATTCTCAGGTAACAACAGTATTTGAAAATTGTATTATGCCTGAGAGACTTCGTTTTCCTGCAAAACAAAATCATTTCTCCAAGTGCAGTCATTTCTAAATCAAAGTAATAACCAATAAAATTAATCCAACACAAGGCTGTCCAATTTAGGCATAAATAAAAATTTAATTAGACTTCTGCTTGTGATAATGCATAAAATAAAATTTGTTTAAGACCCTTTGCTCTGGGTGCCAACTTAAATTAACGCTACAGTTAATTGCAGTTAACAATGTTAACCAGGTAGTGAATGGGGAAAAGCTTCCCCTCTAAATTTCTAGTTCTAAATTTCTAGGAACTGAAGAGATCCAAAATCAAAAGCTGTTTTACTTTAAATCTAATTTTTAAAGAAGAATCTAATCAACCATAACAATTCCAAAGGACACATGAGAAAAAAAAATACCATCCACCTTCAGAGAGAACTGATGAACTCTGAGTGTAGACTGAAGCATATTTTTCACTTTCTTTCTTTTCTTTTCTTTTTTTTTGCAACATGTCTAATATGGAAATATATTTTGCATTACTTCATATGTATTATGGGTATGATATTGCTTGCCTTCTGAAAGGGTGAGGGAGGGGCTAGAGGGAGAGAATTTGGAACTCAAAATTTTTTAAATGAATAAAAAAGACAATAAAGATTACACAACCTCCAAAAAGCCCTGAAGAATCTAATCAACACATTTGTTTTTAATAATGGGAGTAATTAACCCAGCTTCACATTTCCTACTGCCAAAAGGAGAGGCTTATCAAGGAGACGATAAAAAGGCAAAATGAGTGAAAGGATAGCTCATGTCACTGTGGATTCTGAAGAGGTTCTTTAATACTTTCCTGGATCTGTGATCTTATCAATGAGGGCTCTCCCTTCAATGACGTGAATCAAAAATTATCCATGTTTCCTCATCAGGTATCATTCTTTTCCATGTTCTCCCATAGGACTTCCCAATGTGCGGGGGCTTTCCTGGTATTGCACTGATAACAACTGAACATGTAAGCTATGAATGAATTATCCCTGGCTTTCCCTACATCAGAGACTCATCTCTTTTTCAGTCTGTATATTTTTTCTGGTATCTTTTACACTGCTTCTCCTGACCAATTCTTTATTAGTAATAATATGCTTTGCCTGACTCATGCCCAATGGGTATGTCCATTGCCCCCTAGATAACCCTCAACTTTCATCCTTTAGAAACTACAGTTGGTATCGCAAGCTTTACAACCATATAGCATTACCAGAAAAATACTGATATTGGGTTTTGTTATGGGGAAAGTCTTGGGGTTGACAAAAACACTGCTTGATTCCTCCCAAAATGATTTATTCCACTGTCCTCCTCCTATTCAGTTCTGTGCTTAGCTCCTGATCAATATGGAGAGTTAGTCGGAGATGTATGTACAGTAGTCCTTCTGGGACCACTCCCCCCAGCTGAGCACTCACAAGTTAGGGTCTCCACAGGGAAAAAGACTACTTCTCCCCTCAGAGTTCTAGTGGTAACCTTGAAAGGTTCAGTTTTTTTAGACCGGTAGCTCAGAAGCACCTAATCACACGTACTTCCCAAAGATACCAATATTTTTGTTGTTTTTCAGTGGTGTCCTACTGTTCGTGACCCCATTTGGCATTTTCTTGGCAACAATACTAGAGTGGTTTGGTATTTCCTTCTCTAGATCATTTTACAGATGAAGAAACTGAGGCAAATAGCATTGATACTTATGCAGGGTCACATAGCTAATAAGCATCTGGAATAAGCATCTGGGGATGGATTTGAACTCAGGTCTGTCTGACTCCTAGCCCAGTACTCTATACCCTACACCGCCTAGCTGCCCTAATCTTTTTTTTTTAAGGTGACACTATTCCCACTGGTACTCTTTCCCTATACCCTCTCCCATTTGTTATCCCTTTCCCTTTGGAGTTTTGCAAATTCATTCATTTTTCTTTCCTGCTTTTATCTAGTTATTTAATTCTTCCCCTCTTTTTTCCTTTCAGTTAATTAAATTTTTAGCAAAGGTATTTACCAAGATGGTATTGTAAATCCAGTTGGCACAAAACATTCCTCCTAAATTGGGGAGTAGGGGCTCTCTCCCCTTGCACAAGATTCTTGGAGAGAGTCATATCAAACTCCAAGCCCAGCGATGGTGAGGGGGACATATAAGGAATACACATATACCTCACAGCTCTTGGTTCTGATAGTCCCTTTCTCCTTTCTTAAAGTACTCATGAAGTTTCCCTTAGATTCAGTTGGACTCGGAGGGTCAGTGCCTTTGTAGATTCCACAGAGGATACTTTTTGACACACTAAAAGGTCATACTCCTTTAAACTGCTTTCTTCCTCCAGTGGCTGTTCTCCTGGATTTGTATCTGTGTCTTTTGATGTGTCTCCCTAATTGCATGTAGGTGCCTTATCTCTTGTTTACACTGGTTTAGGCTGATTCCTTCTCAGGGGATTAGCTAGAATCCTCAGCTCCTCCACTTGCAGCCTTCAATCACTTCTTGGTTGAATTTACCAGTGGGCAAATTGCTTTTTTTAAATATGTCGAGAGGTGTCTGATTCTTTTCTGTCTGTGTGGTGTCATCTGCTTTCATCCGATAATCAAAAGTCCTATGATACTTTCAGCTTGATTAAGGGCTTTGTCTATGCACTGTGATTAGGATATAGGAAAATTCCTTAATATCTAGTTTGCTTTGTTGATTGACTGAGTTGTGAATGAAATACCATCCAAATATACGAATGGATGGACCAACTCTAGTGGCTCTCCTTTCAAATGTACATCATAATCTAGACAACAGAATTCTCATATACTTTTTCATATATTTTTTTCCTGTGAAAATAATTATATCAAATTCTTTTGAGTGATAATAGAACTTACTTATGAGTTATACCATGCCCTGAAGATTGATGCAATTAGCATGATATTATCCACAAACAAGAGCTTCTATAGGATCTCACCTAATGATAAGGAATCTCTTTTTGATTTGGACTGTACAGTGGACATTTTGTATGATTGTGGCAAATGCTCTGGACCCATTTTTCCTTCTTTTATGTTTCACTAGATATTTTAATCCAAGGACCATCAAACAAAATAATCTGTGTTGCTAAATATTTCAAAGAAGCTTATACGATTTCAACATATGCAGGACAGACATCTTGTTGGAGGAGATCCCTTGAGATGATACTTTTTCTCTACCAATTAATTTTTTTTATAGTCTCCAAACAATAAGCACAATGGTACCTGGAATTCTCTATGCTTCTCAGTCAACTGTGACCCAGTGACATTGGCCTCTTTGCTGTTTCTTGCACAAGACACCCATCTCCCACTATGAGTATTTTCACTGGCTGATTTTATCCCTAGAATTCTCTCCCTCCTAATCTCCCTCTCCTGGTCTCCTTGGCTTCCTTCAAGCCTCAGTCACAATCTCATCTTCAAAAAGCCTGTCCCTATCCCCCTTTAAAGCTGGTGACTCCCCTCTGTTGATCACTGCCAATGTATGCTGTACGTATCTTATTTGTACATGGTTGTTTTCAGGTTGTATCCCTCATTAGATTGTGAGTTCCTTAAGAGCAAGGAGCACTCTTTGTATTCCCAGCACGTAGCACGGTATCTGGCATGTATTAGGCGGTTAATAAACATGTGTTGACTCATTTACTGGTCTACCATGAAATATCATTTATGAAATCTTGTCTATTCTTTTTTCATATCTTCATCAAGGATTCTTTAAAAAGATGTAGGTTCTTCTGATAAAAATGTTATAGAGATGGGAAAACCATTATATGCACTGGAAGTTACTGATATTTTCAGGACTAATTTTTTTGGGGATAGTGATCATATCTGGTTTTTTTCCCAAGTGTTTGATATCCTTCCCTTTCCAAATATCATGAGAATCTATCACTCAATGTCCTCACAATTATATCACCTCCAATAGAGAACTCCACTCTATAAATTTTGTTTAGTTCAGCTAGTCCTACCATCTTTATTTTCCTTAGTGCTATGTATCTCTTCATGCAAGAACATCAGGAGTTGTTATATTAGAAACTCAAATGTGATGCTTCCACTGTTATTGATGGAAAATTGGTTTGTTATAGTAATCTTGGTAGATTTTTTTTCTATTTTTACCTGTTTATTGTCCTTCTATTTTCATCCTTGGGATGATCTGGTTTCATTGAGTCTATTGCCAGCCTTCATATTGATACTCTTTGTCAATGTCTGTTCTCTTACCCATTTCCCATTTTTAAAAATATCAATAGATTGCTTAAATGGGTCGTCTGGAGTTAGTTTAATTGTATGCCATATGGTTTTCTCATTTTTATTTTTTTCTAATTTGACATTGATTTTAGTATTGACCAACAAGTCAATAGTCTGACTGTAAAGACAGAAGATTAAAAACAACTCTTACATCAATAACTATATTTCCTGTATAAGTTATATTGTCAGTTTCCTTTTGTGGGATATTATTTGGTTCTCAACATGTTTAGTATCTCCCATTATCTTATTAAAGAAAAAAATTATATCTATAAAGACAAAAATCATTTCTATAAAAAAGTTGAATTCTATGCAAAATGGATAACTTAACAGAAGCAGATTCCACCCACCTCCAGCTCCCACACATCTACTCCAGCAAAAACTTGAAATTTACAACAGACCAAAAAGAAATAGGAGAAATTACAAGTGACTACTTCCAGACCAGAACTATACAAAAAGTCAGCAGGAGGCCCATAGGCAACAGCAAAGAGGGCTGCAGGAAAGTCGGTGTCAATGCAGGCAAACAAGCTTAAAGCCTTCCAGTGCAACCATAGATCAGTCAAAGACACCTATAGCCAGTAAGGCTCTATATTTGGAAGAAGCGAAAGTGAAGAGTTCCCCTGAGAAATCTCCAGGGTGATCAGAAAGACCCAGGGCATTCTTGGAAGAGCAGGAAGCAGCAGCAATCAGTAAGCAGGGTATAGCACCACTATAACTCAGTACAACAACTCATGGGGTCCAATGTCCCCAGAATGTGGTCTTGAAATGCCATGGAGAGCCCTAAAGCCCCAGAACTCTGAACGTCAGAGATGTAAAGGAGTTTAACCCTTCGAGGTAGAGGTCAACAAGAAACCCACACTACCCAGGGTGAGTTCAACAAGGGCCAATCATCCATACCCAAAAGCACAGCAGGGGACAGAGCTTGGCCTTGATACTGAACTCTAATCCAGATATTAGAGCTGGAGAGATGGTTAACCAAAGAATATACCACCTATATTTTAAAAAAAAATGGTCTAGCTTTAGAGATGCCCCCCAAATCCAGCACAGGAATAGGAAGTATTTTGGTAACGATTCAAAGCAGAGACTCAAAGGAAAGAATGGATTGTCCACAAAGACTACATGAATATCTCAAAGAAATGAAAGAGATTTTTAAAAGTGAAATAACAGCTCTGAAGGAAATGCTTGAAAAGATAATAAATTGTTTAGAAAAGAAATTGGTAAGCCTTACCCAACTAATGGATTCCTTGAAAACAGAATAGACCAAATAAAATCATCTATTTAATGAGAGCAAGAAATAATTAGAATAAAATCAAAATACTAAAAAAAAAGGGAAAAAGTAAGATATTTTATTTTTTTATGACCTGGAAAATGGGCCAAGGAAAGATAATTTTAAAATCACTGGATATCTTGACAACCATGATCAAAAAAAATAATAATAAAGAACAATATTATACTTTTAAAAATCACAAAAGAAAACTTCCCAGATTTATTTACCAGAAGGCAAAGTAAAGAAAGAAAGGACTAATTACCACCTAAAAGTAAAGTCCCAGGAATGTCATCACCAATATCCAAAGCTTCTATTTAAAAAAAAAATACTGCAAACAGACAGAAAGAGTTCAAATACCAAGGAACTTGGTAATCATCCATCATGATTGTGTAAGACCTGGAAACTTCTATTATAAAGAACGGGAGATCTTAGAATATTACATTCCATAAGGCAAAAGATACAGGCTTACAAACAAAAATAACTTACCCTGAAAAGTTGAGTATACTCCTATGGGGGGAAAACAGATCTTTAATGGAATAAAGGACTTTCAATCATTTATGATAAAAAGATCAGAGCTGGGTAGCAACTCTGAAATGCAAACATCAGAGTCAAGAGAAATTTATTTTAGTAATTAGAGGTGGCTATATCATAATATAGTACTAATATTCTACTAAGAAAAGAAGAAACAAGTGTCTCCTTAGAACCCTAATGCACTCAGAGTATTGAGGGAGTTAAAGTAACATAGAGAACCTGTGGGCAGACTAGTTCTGTTCTGCAGGTTTTGGCAGAGGACAGAGAAGTGAGGATAAAAAGAATATACTGGTATAGAAAGGATGAACAACTAAGTAGAACCTATTACTTCTTGAAATTGGAGTGGATGAGGAGTATACAAAGACGAAGGAAGGGTGGAGAAAGTAGACATGAAATGAACCTTATTCTTATCTCAAATGGATAAATAAAGGAGTTAAACACATGCATCCATAGTTTAGTGTAGAAATGTACCAAACTCAAGAGGTGAACTAGTGAGGGATAAGGAAGGAGATGAATAACTGAGATCCAAACAAACTTCCTGCTCCTGAGAGAGGACAAAAAGGAAAAAAAGGAAAGAAAAGCAGAGACATAATTGAGGAGTCAGCTTCCCCTACGTGTCAAGTAGCTTCCAAAGTCTTTTTCTCTCTCCTCATGGTCCCAGGGAGAGTTTGAAACCTTTCTCAAAGAAGAAAGAGAAGGATGTCTCTTCTCTTCAAAGCTTTCATACCAATCCCTTCTTTCATGCAGGCATGGAGCATCATGTCAGCATTTCCTCTACCAATTAGGAGATTCTCCAAATGAGGGCATGCAAAATGCCCTAGCCTTGGCTGGAAACATGATTCTTAGCAGTCTCTGACTCCTTTTCTACCTCTCTGCTACCATGTCTATGAAAGTGGAAAGAAAACTATTCTTCATTGTTTCAGGGGTCCCTATGGACAATGAATTAATAATCTAGCAGTCAGTCTATGAGTGACATGCTTCTCCATACTTAGCTAAGCTGATCTTCAGGAAGTAGACATAATCTATCACCAGACCTATACTTCAACACTTTCTAGTATGGTGAAAATCTGCCAGAACCTGTCCTGGCACTGCTTGAAGAACTCATGGTTATCTCTGTGGCTTAAAGAGAACACTTGAATATGTGCCCTTCTATATCTAGCTTGTTAGGTAGAGCAGGGGATATAGCACCAGGCCTGGAGTCAGGAAGACTCATCTTTCTGAGTTCAAACCTGGCCTCAGACAAGCGTCTGAGAAACATAGAGAACCTGTGGGCAGACTAGTTCTGACACACTAGCTGGGTGTCCCTGGGCAAGTCATTTAACCCTGTTTGTCTCAGTTTCCTCATCTATAAAATGAACTGGAGAAGGAAATAACAAACCACTCCAGTATAGTTGCCAAGAAAACCTCAAATGGGGTCACACAGATTTGAACATGACAGGAAAAAATGAATGAATTTCTAACAACCTAGATCCCAGTGTTGAGAAATACTGAAATGATCTGCTAGATATAAGTAGTAGTCACAGTGAATTGGTCATTTTTTGCTTAGAATTAAGGGGGCAACTGGCTTTCCTTTACCCATGATAAGAACATCAGTATATTGTTCATATTTTTAGGGTTTGGGAATTTTAATATGCACATATGAATAGAATATTAAACACTCATATAAAATCTGCTATCACATTGTATTATGGAATCCTTACCTTTTAAAGCTTCATTGACATAATTCTGTATATAATACATCCTCATCTTGTCTTGCATCACATGTGGATCATCATCAATTCCATTAGCTAGTACGTACACAGGGATGTCTCCATATTTGGACTTAAACCAGTTAAGTACCTTGCGTAATCCCCAGGGCACCACAGCCACCCTACTTGGGGAGTTTAGCCATGTGCTGTCTGTCATTTCTTGTACTTCCAGATAGTCATTATATTTTGCCGGATCCTCTTTTTCCCAGTCCACAAGGATAGTGGTGTAATGACTTAAAGCAAGAAAATCAAACGATCCCTGGATTAGCTTCTTTTCACTTTCAGTGAAATAAGGCAAAAAGAAATTGTTTCTTTGGTTCAGCCACTCTCTCATAACATGTGGATAGTCCCCATTGCCAAAAATGGGCTCAGCAAGCCAGCCAATGTCAAATTCCAAGACTCTCTCAGCTACTTCTTTATCTTTTTGTGAGAAAGGGCAGGCTGGCTCTACCCAATCAGCCTGTAAGGCTATCGATATTTTACCTTTCTGAGATCTTCTAAAATGTTGGTCATACACATGCCAAGCTTGTGCGTGGGCCTTCAAAAGATTATGTCCTGCATTGTATGTCATATTCTGTATATGAGGTTCATTCATTGTAATCCAAAACTTAACAAACTGACCAAGTTCTTTAAAACACAGCCTAGCATATTCTTCAAAAGAATTGACAATTAGGGGGTTCTCCCAGGCTCCATGTTTGGCTAAAAGAAGGGGAAGGCCTTGATGCTCAGGGTCTGGTTGCCATAATGCAACAACAGGTGTTATGTTGACACGGACGAGTTCACTTACAAAGCAGCGATAATAATGTAAGATTGTATGATTGACTTGAGATTGGTTCCCCAAAGGAAGAATCTGGGCCCACTTCAGTGAGAAGTAAAAATGAGTTACATGTATTTCCCGAAGCAGAGAAATCTGGAGCCTGATAGCAGCAAAATCCACACAATGAGGCTTCCTTTTTGAAGTCACAACCCCATCAACTTTAATAAGCTTTTTACTCTGATGGATATCCCAGACATAAATATTTGGATCATTAAACTGGGAAGGAGTTGTATCTACCTAAGAAGAATAAAGAAAATATTAGTTTCAGCTGGACAGTCCTAGAAAATGCAGTAAGCCCAGAAAATTCATTAAATAGAACAGTGAATCATAAAAGAAAAGTTGAATACACTTTTTTTTAAACCCACTATGAATGTCTTAAAATAGAAATAGGATTTTTTCTTGTGATCATCTGTCTATTCCACACACTTTTGCCACAAACAAGTATATACTTCTAATCTCTAAGGTCATCTTAACATGAAAAAGAAAAAAAAACCCAAGCTCATTTAGTGCCTTCCAACTACAAAATTACAGCACACACACACACACACACACACACACACACACACACACACACACACATACACACACACCTGCTCAACAATGGAAGTGACATATTAATTGAAATACATCATTTAAAATAATAAAGTGGCAATGAGTTAGGTTTTTCAATTAAATGAGCAGGTCTAAAGAGCCAGAATCAATGAACTTTTGAGAAAGAAACATATGTGTATATATGCATATGTATGAACATACACTTGTACTCTGTGTCACAAATACATGCTTATTCAAATGTCAACTGAAAAATATGTTAAGGTACTATTAGCATTTGTTGAATGATTACTACATTCACAAAAGTAAGGCATGGTGTTCCAAAAGTCTTCATGCAATGTTAAGCTTTTGTAGCTTTACTGCCTTTTGTTGGAGATTTGTGTCACTGAGCAAACTTAATGCATTGACAGAGCCATAGCTAGACATTTTTGTGCATAGGGCAAGTAGCTCAAAGCATACACATAGCAGGCTGCACAAACTGTCTCCTCAGATAGGGAAGGGTGTGGGATGGAGAAAGGGGAGGATGGCCAGACATTCCTACCGGACTGGCAAACAGAGGTCAGAGGATATTGACTGAAGGGCACTAGAGATCATTGTGTGGAAATGAGAGAGGGAAGAGGTAGGAGGTATAGGGCATCACAAGGGAAGAGCTCACTCTAACTTTCCACCTGATAGATTCCTATTTTAGCTAATTATTTTATTAGCCAGATGCTGAATGCTATTGTTTCTATACTTTCTATACTTCTATGCATCTGGTTTCCTCTAAACTCAACTGTAAGGAGAAAGCCCCACCCTTGGTACAGGTCTACACATGGACCCTCAATGATAGAGAAAAGTAGCTAAAACACCTACTAAATGGAACACTCTAGTGCTATACTGAGTTAGCAAAACAATTAATTTTATGGTGATTTAAAATAAAAAGTAAGAGCTAATTTTAAAAAAGCATTTTTGTGGCACCAGTGATTTCTAATCATTTTAAACATAGGTATCCAAAATGAACATGAATCATTAGAACAAGTGAACATTCTTCAAATGGAAAAATCAGGAAAACTATTGTCCTGTGAGCTTACTCTCCCCAAGAAATGTGAAATGCATGACACTTAACACCTTGCGTTTTCCTCTGCCTCAACATTTTCTTTAAAACTTAAAAAAAAAAATCCTCATAGCATTCAAGTGTCTTGGTTTGACCCTGTACTCCACCCTCATTCCAAAAGCAGGGGTCAGCCTAATCACAGTTTCAATGTGGAATAAAGGTTCTGCTGAATTTTATAGGGCTGTTGAAAATCAGCTGTGGTTCTCTCCGGGGAGGTCAGTACTACACTTATAAAGGAAAGTAATAAAAAGCTTCATGTCAGAGGGAAATTGCTTTTCTGGAGAATTGTCCCTTGTAGATTACCTGTGCATGCATTTCCCATAATACTGAAGGAATGCTGTCACAAGTATTTTTCCACTGTGATGCATCCACAAATCATGCTTTCTTGGCCTTGTGGAAGAAAAATGTTTGCATGCCCTTTTTGAAGGGAAAATATACATCTTGTGAATAACTTTTTGGTTCACTTTTAAAAGAACCCTAAATTAAGTAAAAATTGTATAACTGTGATTTCCAAAAGCAGCAGCCATATTTCTAATTTTAGTCTCAACAACAGCCTGTATGGAAAACTATTTTTAGGCTTTTCTTTTTTTGTAAGTAATCTATCAGGTATGATTTCTGCAATAATGTATTTTTACAAAATATTTTAAAATTAGAAATGACATTAGGGTTCTGCAAAGCTCTGCCAAACATTGAGGAATTTGTAATGGATTGTTTAAGGGAAAACTAAACCAGGACATTGAATCTCAATTTTCATACATTTTTTTCCTTATAGGGCTCAGATACAAGATATAGTGGGTGGCAGAAAAAAATGCTGCTTTCAGATCTGCCAAATGGAAATGGGAGAAACTTTTTGTTAATGTGAGGAAATGTCTATACTTCCAATATATGAGTAGTGCCATGCTTATATTCTGCACAAGAAATGCTATAACTTGGGAACCAACCCATGTGAGGACATAACAATGATTAAATAAACTGATAGCCTAAGTCAACTGTGGAGCCCTTATTGTTGATTATCTTTCTGCCTCAAGGCCCAGCACTCTATCCACTGGGACACCTAGCTGCCTAGAAATGAGTCAGTTCTTTATGTTATGTATTCTATGGTAATTTTTAAGAAATGTACAAGTTACTACTCTTTTCCTCTGCCTGTATTTGGTTTTACTTTAAAAATTCAGACTTTGTAGCCACTGAAGAGTATTTTTTTCCAAAATTGGAAAATTTTGCCTTTTTGCAAAGTGCTTCAGTCCTAATGATAATGAGGCTTAAGTTTAAATGGAAAATCTGTAAGATAATCTACAATAAGAGCTACACAGTTTATTTAGGTCTGCTCAATTCATTTAATCATAATTATGCACCCAGATGGATTGGTTCCCAAATTATAGGATGTAAGTATGGCCCTACTCACATATCGGAGGCATAGGCATTTCCTTACAGTAACAAAAATTTCTCCCATTTCATTTTGGCAGATCTTAAAGCAGTTCAAATCTGGCCTCAGATACTTATTTCCTAGCTGTGGGACCCCAGGCAAGTCACTTAACCTCTGTTTGCCTCAATTTCCTAAACTCTAACATGGAGAAAATAATAGAACCTACCTTGCAGTTTTGTGAGAATCAAATGAGGTAATATTTGTAAAGTGCTTAGCACAGTGCCTGGCCCATAATAAGTGCTATATAAATGTTTCCTCCCTAAACCACTTCCTCCCTTCCTAAGTTAAGTAGTTAACTTTCTCCTCCTCATCATCCTTCTTAACTTTCACCCTCTTTTCCTCCCCCCTCTTCCTCCTCTTCTTTTCCTCTTTCTTCTTCTCTTTTTTCTCTTCCTTCTCCTTCTTTTCCTCGTCATACAAAACATAATATAAAACCACCATTGAGTTCAGAAGAAACAGAGAGTTACTATCATCTTTGACAAGTAGAGAGCTACAGAAGATTAAGCTGTTCCCTAAGTTTCTTTCTTTATTTTTTGTTATATTTTAAGTTCCAAACTGTTTTCCTCCTTCCCTCCCCACCCTACGCTAGAGAAGGCCACCATTTTACACAGATACACATATGTAAAACCACACTATGCATACTTCTGTTAATCATTCTTTTTCTAGAGGTAGATAGCATCTTCCTTCATGAGTCCTTTGTAATTGATTTGAGTACTTATAATCCTCAAAATAACTTAGTCACTCATAGCTGTTCTTCAAACAATATTGCTGTTACTATATACAACATTTTCTTGGTTCTGCTCACTTCACTTTTCATTATTTCATACAAGCCTACGTGTTTTTTCTAAAATCAACCAACTCATCATTTCTTATAGCGTTGCAGTATTCCATTGCAATCATATGCCACAACTTGTTCAGCCATTCCCCAATTGATGGGCATCCCCTCAATTTTCAGTTCATTGCCACCACAAAGAAAGATGCTATAAATATTTTACAACATACAGATTTTCCTTTTTCCCCTGATCACCCTGGGAAACAGACCTAATAATGGTATTGCTTGGTCAAAAGGTATACACAGTTTTATAACCCTTTGGGCATAATTCCAGATTGCTCTCCAGAATGGTTGGATCAGTTCACAGTTCTACCAACAATGTATTAGTGTCCCAGTTTTTCCACATCCCCTGCAACATTTGCCATTTTCTCCTTCCATCATTTTAGTCAATCTAATAGCTATGAGATGATATCACAAAGTTGTTTTTATTCCTTAAGTTTGAAAGTGAACATATAGACTTAGCTTAACTTCATTTTCTCCTATCTCCAGTAGAAAAATCTAGCAAAAAACCAGTGAAAATTACCAAGGTCTGTTTAGGTAAATATTCGCCTTTCTGTTGATAGAAGGATAAAGGCAGCATGAGTACTCAATTGACAATCTCCTACAAGTCTAGGTTAAAAAAATATGCATATATATTTCAGTATATCAGAAGGCCTGGGGTTTCACTCAAGAGAGTCCTTCCACCGCCAATGACTATGACCCTTTGCCATTTAGAGGCCTGGCTTCATATAGCTGTAGCCAAAAACATTCATCAACTGGTGGTCAAACAACTGGTGAGGAGCCTCTGCAGACTTAGCTTGGATGACTGACATCAAGTTAGATAGCTGCTTGGCCTGTGGAAGGTGCCTCTCCAGCTTGTTAGGCCATGCCAAAGTTTGTTCTCCCCTGGCACAGACTTCAAAATCTCAGGGTGACCTCCAATCACAATGAGGCATCAGAGGCAGGTAAAAAGAGAGTGGTTCGTATCATAGTACAGGCTCTTCACCTTTTTTGTGTCATGGACTGACAGTCTTATGAGGCCATTCTCAGAATTCTGGGTGACCTCTTCTCAGAATTGTTTTTTAAATGCATAAAGCAAAATACTGAGAAATACCAAAGAAAACAATATATTGAAATACAACTATCAAAAAAGAATTCAAGTTAACAAACCCCAGATTAAGAATCCCTGTATTCAAGTGAACGTGAAACACTAAAGACTTGGTATGTGAAAGGTTGATTTGCATGACTGTTCATCAATTTATGTTCTAGAGTCAAAACAGCACATAGGACTAATGTTGGAAATGACAAGGAAAGTGGAAAAATTTGGGATAATAAACAGAAAATGAAGTGGTAGGGGTAAG